AGAATTCCTCTGTGGGTTGAGCAACTCAACACTTTTGCTTTGCATGAAGATTAAATTAGTCAACAGATAACTCCAAACTTGGCAAGCAGCTGGTAGCATTAACAAGTTGTGCAAGCAAGTATAAAAATAGAGGCTCTTGTGGCACAGAGGGCTTCTGCTTTGCAGATACTCACCCTTGCATGCAGCATTTTCCAAATTTTCAGCTGAGAACATGGAAATTAGGCTGTGGAACACTGCATTATTCATAACTTGGCAACCAGCATCTAGGGCACGTCGCCAGAATAAGCCACTATTATAATTATAGGTGAACAGAATTTTGAATATATGTTTCTAGAAAGAGTACATTAATCAAAATGGAAGGATACCCATTTTCAACATTGGAATTCTTGCCAGTTCCTCAATGGAGGCAGCATTCCTTCACAAGATTCCAAATCAGCCTTTTTTCAAGGTTAGATTACAAAGATACCAAGCAGTAGACATTCTTGTGTCCAATGGGAAAGCTAACTTCTATATTAAGTTATTTAAAAAATGTATTCTCTCATTCTGATTCAATTCCAGATGAATAGGGTAGTTGTGTATTGGGCCTATAAACTTAACCCTATTCTGTCTTGGTTGTTCACTGAATATTCTATGTAATTTGTGATTGGACTACTACATTAGCTATGGCCAGTCTCCAATCTGCCGCAATCATTACATAAGCCCTATGTGATACTTAAGTATAGTCGCAATCCCAAAGTAACAAAAACACTGTATATTTTACAGTATGTTTTCTTAATACTGGGCAGAATATACAGTCCCAAAGGTGAAATGTTCCACTTTAGCAAGTTTGATAGATCTGTTAATTACCCGCTTTCAGAGTAAAGCTACCAAATAACTCTGACTGCTGAAAGAGATCTCTTCTGCATGGCCTGACCCAGCTTGCTTTCTTGCTGCTGCCCAAACTGGAGCACTATCATCTACATTGCATTTAGTTAACGAGTTAATTATGGAAAGTTATTGTAAGATGTAAATATTTTGGCTGATAGGAATGAGCTAGTCAGTGTGATACTTGAGCTGCTTTTGTTACTATACAAAACTGCATGGTTGCCATTGAAAAGAATCCAAATGGGGTAAAGCTTTCATTTTACATATTCTGCTGGTGTTACTGATGTTGATCCAGGCTCTTGATAGTGCAAGTTTTTTTAATGCTTTCATCTCCAGTTTGATTATGTTGTGTCCTCTTAAGACTGCACTGAAACCTGCATCTATACTCACATTTTATTACAACTTTGCCTTGAATATGATTTTTACACATTTTCTGCACATGTTTTTGGTTAACCACAAGACCCATTTTTTTATATATTTTTCCTTACTAAATGCCAAAACATATTGTAATCTCACAATTATATGCTTTATATGGTATCTAGTAAGTGGAACCATTGAAATAGAAGCACTATAAAGTGGTTTGTTATTGGGCTACTGAAATCATTAAGGTGATTTTTTTTGTGGGTTATGAGAAAACTAGAATCAAAAATTTATTTTGCACATTAGCAAGTTTTAGGAATAAAAAGCTCTGATTCTATAGGTGGAGAAATTGTCAGGCTTACCTAATCGATAGTATATGTTATCTCTGCAGTAGAAGTTTCATGCAACAATATGTAGCCAGGGAACAAGAACTGATATTTCATAAATATAATTAGACACAAAGTATATAGGAATAAAGGCTGGATTTGGGGGAAAGAACAGTTAAAGTTCTTTAAAGATATTTATATTGTATCCATTGCTGCCTTTTAATATGCTTCTTGAAAGAAAATGGGATTTTTTTAAATTAATCAATTTAAATGTGATGATATTTTAGAAACCTCAGTATAGTCTATCTTGAATGTAGTGAATAAAATGCATAACTGGTTTTTTTTAATTGCACAAAATTAGTCTAGTGTAGTTAAAGTGTGAAAAACCCATGCCATTTCTTGAAATAATTTAAGACTTGCGTTTTTCATAGGTATATTTTCCTGTGCACTCAGATTCATTCAGATCATTTTGCTATACTGAATTATAATCATTAATTATTAGGTTGCCATATACTTTTATATGCCATTTTTTTCTTTAGATTTGTTATTTGTATTTGTACATTTTTATTTGTATTTGTACATGTTTTCGCTTAGAAAAAGCAATCTAACAAATATTGTATGTATTTCTTTATTTATAGAAAACAATTTATTTCGGGGAATCTTGTTTTGATGCACATGTTAGTCACCAGTTAATTCCATGATAAAGTAGTTAGCAAGGAGGGAATTCATGTTCTTATGAAAAATTTATTAGAAGCCCTGAATTTGTTTGAAGCCACAGACCTATAAAAAAAAAAGATTATGTTTAAAGATGGAAAGAATAAAGAGATCAGGTGTTGAATATAGTCCATGAAATTTTATTTGTCTTGCATATAATCAATTCTAAATATATTTTACAAGGCACATATAAATAGCAGGACTATAAAATTTATGAAATGTTGTATATGGTGTGACTATTTATGAGGACGAAGGGAATTTGTATTCTGTTCAAATAAACTTGAAGGGAAATTTATTTTGAAAGCATTCTGAATTCTGAAGCAAAATTGGGATGAAGGCAAATATCCAGTCACTTCTCTTGTATAGGTCTGTGTTCATTCGACCACTTCTCTGCTGCTGGAGCCACAATTATACAGGAGTGGCAAAATTGTAATATTTTTTTTTACGAGGGATTGAAATTGGACATATTTTACTACTAGGTTGCATTCTGGCTAAGTTGGAAGAGCGGGTTATATTGTTCAGTCTTCCTATATCCCTCCCTTAATAAATGTATATTTAACAATGTCTGAAGCATATGAAGTGATAATAACTAAATCAATACCTCCTTCATTGATTGTCCAGGATCCCTCCAGCGTGACGCACACAGCACTGCAGTAATTTTCCAGTTAACTAGCACCCTGATCTACAATCCTGCTATTGATTGACCATTGTATCAGACAGACACTGAATGGTGTTGCATATGCTTCTATTTAGCCTTTTCATTCATTCATTTATTACTGGACAAGAGTGATCATCTGAGAGACTTCCTGAAACTGTCCAGCGAGAGTTGGACTGTTAGGATTCCTATAAACAAGCCTTTTTCTATTACAGCCTGCTTCTTTCTTTCCAAGCTTCAGTTTCCTTTGGCAGGGCTTCATATCGGAGATGCTGCCTAGCTTAACTTTCTATCCGTTTTCATTTATTTATTTGTGAATCTATTGCATATCATTAAAATAACCCATGAATGTTGTATAGAATAAATCCATGATAAAAATACAATTTTAAAAACCTCCATAAAATAAACACTGTAGTGTCAGTAACTTGTAACAGTTACTCATAGAAGGAGAAAGTAATATACAATTAATTCCAGCAAAGCTGACCTCTCTTTGTAGTTTTACCTGCTGAGACACTTTGCTCTTAGGATAATCCCAGTATAGCACACCTGTCCCTTCAGTGTAAGTATAATCTTTATTGTCATTGTACTTAAATACAACAAAACTGGTTTCCCATTCGGCTGCAGCAGTTACTATAGTAAACTGTTGTGGCTCAGCAGGAGCCATTGGAGCTGCCACCAGACTCCGACAGTGAGGGGCCCTATGAGTCGGCTCTGGAGGATGTGGAGGACCCTGGACAGGTTTCCGATTCCGAGCAGGGAGCAGAGAGGCTGGTTGGCCACCAGGAGGCGCCTGAGCCTTGGACCAGTGGGGAGGAGACAAGGGAGAGTGAGCCGGATGCCAGCAGTGAGTTGTTCCTGGATGCCCTGCACCGAAGATCTAATAGACGTAGGGAACAGTTGCGCAGTTACAGGAGGTAATTGCACTCAGCTGGTGCTCATTAGGCTACTCTCCAGACTATAAAAATACTGCTTGTGCACACACCCCTCTTGCAGAAGTCAACGCAGGAACTAATGTCGGAGAACATTATGGTGAGCTTGGCAGGCTGGATTGCTGTCAAGTCTTATCTGTGCTGGATTGCTGCCCAAGCTAGTGTGTGCCGGTTTGCTGCCAAGGACCTTCTCTGTTAATTAAATGCCATAACTTATCTTTGGCTCGGAGTGTGTGTTGGTGTGGGACGAGGGGGGTCATAACAGTAAACAAAGGAGCCCAATATTAGGAGATAAAATAAACTTACCAAGGTAAAATGTATATATGCCAAATATGTATTTTTACTTAAACTAGTTGGTTAGAGCAAATTTATATTTCTGCAGAAAGTTGAAACTATATAGGCACAGTAAGGATGATCCTAAAGAATTGCATCCCCATTCCTTATGCGAAACCCTTGTTTTGGATTACTTGCTCCTCTGAACCATGACAGAGTTAGATTTATTAATATATTAGACAATGGCTGATTCCCTCTCAATCTTTTAAACCTAATACATTTGCAGCACATGGATTTACCCTCTGGTAGATAAGTTTCCTTTTTTTATGAAGTAAAAGTTCTTTATAGAGATATGCTCTGATAGTTTAGCATTGCATTGATTAGCTATTGCAAGAAAGTACTTGGCACTTATATATAAAACAATCCTTTTTAATGCTTATGGTAAAGTTACAACTTTAGGAAAATTTCTCTCTGTGTGTGGATATGATATCGCTTTTTGTGAAATGTTCATTTGCATGATTCTGCTTTTAATGTCAAATTAGCATCAACTTGGCAAAAAGGAAACATACAAAATGTATCAGTGTTTTTTCCCCAAATTTCCCCATTCCAGAGTAAAGTACAGTATTTGCCCACAAGTTCATATATTGTCTACTTTGCTCCTTGACCTTTGCTGTTAAATCTTCTCCTGTGTTGGCTGCCTCAGCTGATTCTCAAGCCTACATACTCTATAAGCTGATTTGATTCTATCTGTTTAATCACTTCTTAAGAGCCAAGATGTACCCTAACTCTATGTGGTTTGCCTACTGCACTTGGCACATAATGAAATCAGCGAAATGTTTCTAAGAACTCAGCCAGCCCTGACTTTGTCATCTATTTTAGGATTACAGAAGACTCGGCAGTGACAACATTTGAGGCGCTAAAGGCTCGCGTCCGTGAATTAGAAAGGCAGCTCTCCCGTGGGGACCGCTATAAATGTCTCATTTGCATGGTGAGTAGTTTGCCATTCTGGTTATGAATGAGGAAATGACACTATACCTCTACCTTGGCTGTCGCAAAATGGAATCGTTGATAGGATGCACTGCAGCATTATCCACTATTGCTTGATTCTATAGAAAAGCACTTTTTTTCTTTCTTTGAAGTTAGTATCATTGTATCTGTTATAGCACAACATTACTTTAGTTTAATGTATGAGCTTTGATTTTATAAACTATATCACTGTTCATTTGTAGAACGTATGTTTATGTTTTTCTTCCTGATTTGCAACATGCAACTTGTTCATTTCAAAACCTGTGATTAATGCTTAAGGGTTCAATTCAGACCATTTACAAAATTATTTAAAAGAGTCCTTGATCGTGGTGGCTGTATGGAAGTTCACAACACAACATTTGGAGAGCAGGAGCTGGAAAAGGCTGTAAATAAAGACCTCCTGCTTATTGAAGTGCTGAAGCTCCCTCTAGTGGATCAGAATCTGCAGATGTTGATATCATTTTGTATACATCGTGCAGTTTTAAAACTCAGAATTTTTATTTTAGGGGTATTTCATTCTGAGCTATAGCGTTATTTTAGGAAATAGTTTTTCCTATGACGCAGAGTACAATTAAGTCTGCATGGAAACTATTATCTCCCCACATCTCCCCAATGGCATGAATGTCAGGTGTCTTAACATTTGCCTTGATCTCTCTAGACACCAAGCACATATATTTGGTGGATATGTGTGTTTGAATGATTGTAACAAGAGTTTGCTTTAAGTATTTGTTAAAGAGAATTGTTAGTATCTTAATGTGAAATTAATCTGTTCAATGATTAATCAATAAAGTCAGTCAATTTTTCTCCATTTTTCACAATTGAAGGTTAAAAGTCTCCTTTAATTTGTTCCTAACCTACTTGTAAGCATGCAGCACTATACTGCCCCTGTGTTCTCTTTGGAGTATGATCAAAGGTATATATTTTGCATTTTATTTGCATTTTATATTTACAAATGTGCATCAGTTCACAAATGCATGTAAAATCAAGCAGTGATATGGAGGTCAAACGAGAAAATAAAATTTAGAGATTCGTTGCTTCATTGCATCCTGCCCTGCCCTGCATAATTCCAAATTTAATCAGCAATTTCCATAATTTTATAGTATGTGATACAGTAACTTTACTTTCTTTCTATAGGACTCTTATACAATGCCCCTGACCTCCATCCAGTGCTGGCATGTGCACTGTGAGGAATGCTGGCTGCGGACTCTGGTAAGTCTCTTAGTTTCTTAGGGGGTAGCTTAAATTAAATTCTTTATTTTTCCTAGTTGAAATTACAATTACATGAAAATTCTCTTCAAAATACTATGCTTCTATTTTACTTAATGGGAGTCATTCTCAGTGTTACCTTCTTTTGCATTTGATGGGTTTCTGTCAAAGAACTTAGATCCTATCGTAATAGAAACAAATAGTTCACTTTTTCCCCCCGAGAATGACCTTTGTCTGTTCACAGACATTTTGAGACTGGGAGGGAGAGAGACAGACAGACAGAGAGACAGACAGAGATTTAACAATAAAATTGAAAAATATGATTAAAGGTTCAGTTGTTTTATCTTATGTCTTACCTAGACTACTTCTGAGTCCATCTCAGATACATGTACCAACAGTTTTAGAGCATACAGATTTTCTATCTAATCAATGGATTTTTCAACTCTTTCTGTTTGTACCTTCACACTCTCAGAGATGGTTGGGGAAGCATTCTATTTTGTTTCTAAAAGGTTGAGATGAGACTTTTTTTAACTTTATTTTATTTTTTATTGCATTTTATTTTTAAAAATGTATATGGCTGCCTATTATGTAGAATGATTGTAGGTGGCTGACAACAATCCATTAAACATAGTTAAAAACAAAGGTACCCTTCCCCCTAAGGGGGAATTGCCAGACCAAACATCCTCTCAACTCTCCTCTTAGTCCGGTATTTGGAGGAAGAGCCCGGTCTTCACAGCCCTGCAAGAGGCTGAAAGAGTAGCCATTCCTCTACTTCAAGTGGAAAGGTATTCCAAAGGGCTGGGATGGCCACCAAGAAAGCAAGCCTCCAAGGTCATATCAGATGACAATATTTAAAGGAGAGGACCTGGAGCGCACCTACCCTGTCTATTCCAGTAGGACTGGCAGATACCCTCAGGGAGCGTTGATCCTGCAAGTAACTGACCCTGAGACTCTTAGGGATCTCTGTTCCCTAAGACATAGCCCATTAGCTTTGATTGTGCTATCATGCTTTTATCATCCATTTTTTCATTTCCCCATTCTTTTGTAGAAAGCTTCTTTAAATTGGCTTTGCAAGGTAGGCTGTTCTCCTTCAGTGAGTTAATGTAGTGCAGGGGAGATTTCCAACTACAGGTAGTACAAGTCATAATTGATATTGGATTAGAATGTAAAAAAGTATGAATGAAATGTTTTTTTTTTATAAGAGTGAAAAATGTGTAAGTAATTTCTTCCTTTCAGTCTGTAGAAATTCTCAGTCATCCAAGTAGCTGTTCTACTCCCCACTCATGTGCTTCCCAACCTCACGATACCCTGGCCCAACTCTCCCTGCAGAGCCAGAGCACCACCACCGTTGCCACTGCCATCCCACCATAGCTTTTTCTATGGCTTCCAAACCACAGAGATAGGCTGCCAAGTCTTCTGGCAGTGGCCGCTCTGGGAGTACACTCTATGGTTGTGGGCTGGCTGCTGGCAGAGCGTACTCCCAGAAGGTACAATCATAGAACGTACTCCCAGAGCAGCCACTGCCAGAAGACTCGGCAACCTACCTCAGTGGTTTGGAAGCCACAGAAAAAGTGATGCTGTAATGGCAGCGGCAGCAGGAAGCAGCAGTGGTGCCCTGGCTCTGCAGGGAGAGTTGGGCCAGAGCATTGGGAGGCTGGGAGGAAAGTAAGCAGGGAGCGGAACAGCCGCTTGCACAACCCCCCTCTCTAGCCGTGCAGAGAGCCATTCACTGACCTAGGGGCATTCCGAAGGATCCAAGCCGCAGGAGCCGGGGGCGGCGAACAGGCGCAGCTTGGTGATACCCCTAGGACAGTGAATGGCGCTGTGCCCATCTGGAAAGGGGATTTGCTGGGTGGCTGCTCATGAGCATAGTCACTTCATGATTGCTGTGTTGCGCTGCTGCCACAGCGCAACACAATCATTCGCTCCTGAGGTGTGCCTGGCTCTTTGGGAGCCCGCTCGCAAGAGAGCAGCTGCCCAGCAACCCCAAAACAATAAGCCCTCCCCTGATAATAAGGCCCAAGCCATATTTTGTGGGTCAAAAGAAAATAAGACCCTGTCATATTTTCAGGGAAATATGGTAGGAGTAATTGGTCTTGTTGCATCCATTATTCAAGCCTATCCACACAATAGCTTATTAAACTAGAATACCTGCAAATCTTTTTTTCCGGCCAGGACCTGAAAATAGTATTTTATTGCCCATGCTCTTTCACTATAATAAATTTAGTACTGACTATCCATAAGGGTTTTACATTTATGGTGCAAATATGTTTCAAAAGAAAGCAGTCCTCAATATAATAATGGCTTGGCTGAGGAATTAATACACTTTCCTTTAAAAAAAACCTTCATGTCACACTTTGGCAGTGATTTATTATCTTTGTAGAAATGATCCCAAACACCAACACAGTGAAATATATATGAGATAAAAACATGAGATAAAAACTTGTAGGTTCTACAAATAAATTTCAACAAAGATATTAAATGCAAAATTAAAATTGTGAGTCTCAAATGTATAATCTCTCTCTCTTGATTTTTTAAGAATAATTTCCTTTTATCACCATGAAACAAGGAAAAATAAATTTTCTCATCTTGATTTAAAATTTGCCAGGATTATTTTATGAGAAAAAAATATATGCTCCATTGACTAAATTCAAAATAAAACTGGCCAATTAACTCAGCTAATGAAATCATATGATAAAATATGCTGTCTCAATTGAGCTGTATTTTTGTAAACTTTAAAGTTTATTGGTATAGCATCTAGATGAAAATATAGATGCAAGCAAAAAAGTGTTGAAATGCATATACTGCAGAGATTAATTTAATTCAAAAGGAGATGCTTGGAAAAGGAAAAGGGAGGTTATCTTTGGAGTTCTCCTATACATCCTAACCACTCATGGTGACCTGAAATATAGGCCCTTCTACGAATCAAAGAAGTACTGTCTTTTATAGAAAGACCTATTTTGACCCATCTGATAGGACTTTGCTAGAGAAAACAGTATCAGCAAAATTCTAAATAGGGCCACAGTTTCCAAACACTGTGGTGTAGCCCCATGGGGTGCGATAGGAAACTCACAGTGATGCCGCAGAATATTTCACTGCTTAATAAACAGAATTGTTAATGAGTTTGCTGCAGCTTCCCAGAGCACCAGGGAACTGCTGGGGGCACCCTGAAAAATTGCTAAGACACTAAGGGAGATGTGAACCAAGAATCTTCTGAAATAATAGTATAATAACATTTCTACCTATACATTTTGGATTTATTTAAGTAAAGCATTGGTATATACATAGCATCTATATCCTTAAGATGATACTATTAAAGGATACCAGTTGGAATACCTATATTCCAGTATATTCCAGGTATTCCAGTTGAATTTATTGTTCAAGATTGATTCTAATTAGGCTCTTGCTGATTAGAAAAAAAATTCAGCTCTATTACCTACAGTTGAAACACTGTTTCTTTTGGGGGAGAAATGAGAGAAGAACGAAGTTTAATGTGGTGCTTTATCACATTATTTGTGGCCTAGCATTCAAAATAGGGAATTAAACTGTGGAATGGAAATGTAGCTACTCACCTGCTCCTCAGCCCTTGTTTTCTCCTCATAGCTGGCAACATATTGCAGGAAACATTTTGTAAGGCAAGTGCTGTTCTCTTGCTCACTTTTTTAAAAATCACTCTTACTGCCTGTGTTCACGTTTCTAATGTAACTATTAAAATGTAGCCTGAAGACAGCAATGAAAAGCCCGGGATGCCTCCGTGCTGCTGTGTCTTGATCAAAGTCAAATCTGTGTAATCTTGTTAAAGCTGCCCTTCCCTCCTCCTTTTCTTTATGAATATGATGGTGTATAGCATATGCACCATATTGCTTTCTTGTAATTAAAGTATGTCCTTTTATTTTGGATACGGAAAAGACGCCTGTAATTTGTTCTTAACACAAATGAGGAACAGTGGGCAGAGCCGGGGTGGGTTGATTTAAAAATGGTCATATATTGCCTTGCTCTGGAAATTGATTTTCCTCTTGGTTAGGAAAATGTACAATCTTATTTGTACATGTGGAAAAATGTGCTCTAGAAGGGCAGCGTATTTCCTTTGTTGTGCAAAAATTTGTTGCACTTGGTAAAAGTTAAAGGGGAAAAAGAGACTGGAGTAGTGAGCTTGGCACGCTTGAACATCTTCTGGACATCTGCCATTCTTTCACTGTTAGGGAAAATTTAACTTTTATCTTTTAGTTTTATATGACTAGCTAAATGTTTGCTTGGACAACGGTGTAGCATAGTAAAGAAAGTAGAAAGCAAAGTGGACAAGACATTCACAAAAATTGGATAGGGCTCCCAAAATTTAAGTTACTGTTGGGAAACAAACAAGGTATTCACTAACGCATGCTAATTTCAAGCATTTTTTATCCTTTGTTTGCTTTTCTGGCATCAGATGTTAAATGCATGAAGTAATTTCTCTTTTAAGTATAAATTTCACCTCAACAAGTACAAAAATATTTAGCTGTTTTCTATGGAATACAACAGATCTGTTATTATTTACATGGTAATGATAATACACTGATTCAATAATACACTAATCCTGTTGATGATGTTACCTAGTCTGGTAATGAAACATTCAGAACAGGAAGATAATACACTGAACCCAATTCTATAATTGTTTACTAGTTATCCCCATTCCCTATAATCAGTTGTATCCTCTATTTCAAAAACAGGCTATAGAAGTAATTTGGGGAAGAAGCGGCATTGGTATTCCCCGTTTGTAGAAAATGACATTTGTACAGTAGTTGAAAAGCAAGATTCACCAAATTCTAGCAGACTTCCCGCTTAGGATTTGCATCAACTTAAAACAGAATTATATGGTAGTGATACAGTTCATTCAGCACATTCATGCCCTTAACTTGACAGTATAGTTGGCACAGATTCTACATCATGCCACTGCTGTCCATTACTTCAGTAAGAAACCTCCTGAAAATGTAAAATTTGAGGACACAATGAAGTAATTGAATAGTCTTATCTTCCTTAAATTTTTCATATATTTTGTAGTTTGGATAAAATTTTTGAAAATTGAGAATTGTAGCATTGTGACAGTGGAAGCATCACCTGCAGATTAATTCGGATGACAATATTAAAGAATAAAATGCCCAGATTCTCCAAGAAAAAGGCTTTGGTCATGGACACATGAAATGAAAAGGGTTCATTTGAAGCCGCTACAATGGTGTCTACATCAAACTGCACATTAATAGATGATATCATCATGGAAATAGTGCTATTAAATATGCTCAGTTTTTACTAAATGATAATGTCACACATTTCACTATTTGCCCTCTTAATGCAGAGCAGACATTAACAACTAATAAAGTTGTACAAAGCATCTTTATTCCTTAATTCTATCAGTCTATCAGTAAAATTCAGAGCCAGGGAGAATCAGAAAATGAAGGCTATTAGAATTAAAAATACCTTGCCAATAAAGGAGAATGAAATGTGTTTGACCCACTATCCCTCATGTCAGTCCATGAAGATTCAGAAGGTCACAAATTTGATCTAACCAGGACTACAGTTGTAACCCAGATGAAATCAAGGAGAGAAAGATAATTCCTTGAAGCCTGGTTTTCCACCAATAAATCAATAGACACACTAAGGTCGACCCAGTCTACCAATCGCTTAGAATGAAAGAACTGCATCAACCAGTTAGCACAGTGGTCAGCAAACTGCGGCTCTGGAGCCGCATGTGGCTCTTTCCTCCTTCTGTTGCGGCTTTGTCATCAGTCGGTGCCACAAATTTGAGAGGAGCTTCTGGTGGGGGGAGGGGACGGAGCACAATGTGTCAGGAGAAGACTATGGCAAGGGGCGGGTTTTCCAGTTGTCTCCACAATTGATAGGGCTTTCGGTTATGACAGGTAAAGGAAAAAGTACGCCACGCTAAGAGGAGACTGTATGGTGGGGGAACTGAACTTCCACTCAGCTCCAGAATTGAACAGGGGGCTTCCAGTTAGGACCTTTGTGGCTCCCGGTGTTTTCTTTTCTGTGGGAAATGGGTCCAAATGGCTCTTTGAGTGTTTGCCGACCCCTGAATTAGCATTTAAAAAGTAGCAGTTAAAACGAACAAACAGACATCCCAATATGCAGCAACAAAATTAAAAATCCATCAGCTCACAAGAAATCAGACCACATCTCAGTGACAAGAGCCAGCCATGCAAACCTTCAAACAAGCCAAAACCAGACCATGACTAAGAAGCACCCACATAACAACTCTAATCCTAATCTGCATTACACAGACAATACTTAACTACAGCCCAGCAACAACAGCCAGCCAATCAAACAGTCAGAAATCAGACCATGACTCAGAAATATTCAGACTAATTTGCATCTCATAAAATGGTATTTAAAGACCTGTGTTCTGACAGAGGAGCATAATTCAAAACGCACTGACGATGTCTCCTTGAATGGTGATGAAATGTTTGCAACCAAATTGCTAAGCTCGGAACTCAAACCAACAGCCTGAATAAAGGAGAATATTTGAAACTCAGGGTTGAAATGAGTGCTCATTTCTTTTCTTTTTTTAATGTTCAAATGTTTTATTTCATTTTTCATTTTCATTTCATACATTCACATATATACTGTGCATGATTGAGGCCATATAACATTGAGCAATAAACA